ATATGAGAGATTTTATAACCCAATCTTTTACTAATAGTTATTGAATCCATAGTTATTGTGTTTTTAGACCTATTCTTAACACTTATTAAAAATTCATATCAAATGGGAAATTATTACAAATACACATCTATTTAAAAGTACTATAAGTATTTAAAATTTATTCCATTTGTATATTTATAAAAATTTTATGTCTCAATAAATTTATAATAAATAAAAATTATTTTATTTTAAATCATAATAAAAATTACAATATAATCATTATTATAACACTAAATTAGTATATTTAATAATTTTTAACTTTTTAATTAAAACAAAAAGCGTAATCTAACATTTTCAACTCTACCCAGTACGTTTCCATATCTTGATTGCAGTATTAACAGGTCTATTCTCACCACTTAACCACGTGATGTCTATATTGTTCAAAGCTACTCAGCACACTGGAGCCATTTGGGGCCACACTATGAGTGACAACACTTTAAATATTTTAACATTAATCTCTATACTGACTAACGTTATAATAGTCACTGTTTTGTCATCGTTAATGTGGCCCTGATTACAATGTGTGCGCATCGTAGGTTCAAAGCCTTTACATTTTAAATACTTGGCCATAATATATTACCAATTGTTATACCGTTCACTAGTACATAATCGGGATATTGTTTAATGTCTGGAAAATTAGCCTGCTGAACTTTTCCAAACTCAAGAGACTTTCCATCTTCTGTCCTAAAAAATAACCCTGCACAATCTTTACTAATATCGCGCCATTCCATATTAGGCCATATGTCCATTGGTGATAATTGATTAGAAAATTGTGTGTATATGAAACCAATTGGCACTTGGCTAGTTTCTAGAATTTTAATTTTCTTATCTTGTTCAATTAATAATGTTTCTAAACTACTTATCCTTGATTTATTTTTCTCGGGCGTTGTAACCATTTGTTGCAATTGATATGTTGTATAAAGATCGGTTAACTTTATATTGGCACCGGGGTCGTATCCGAGTTCGTAATATTCTACATATAAGCTTCCATTTTTGAACCAGGTAATTTTGGGATCATCCAACAAATCGGTTAATAATCCATTTTTGCGTTCATCTAATATAGCATAATCGACAGCCGCAAACATTACACTATCACCTTGATCTTTTTTATAGGTTAGCATATTTCTAAAAACGTTCATCGTATTATCAGCTATTCTAGCATTATCGTAGTTAAAGAATAATATAAATGTATCATTATCATAATACTCCCATAGAAAATGCTGCAATATGGTTTCTTTGTTCAATAAAGTTACATTCATTTTAAGCATAAATTTGATGAATGATATTTCTTGCTTTAATTTGCCAAATTCATTTAATTTTACCTTGGTATTTTTCCAATACGGGTCATTAGTAGCATTTAACAATAGCGTTTCAATTTTATCAACAGGTTCAATACCCGATCGTACAGGTGTTATATGTTCAGATAACTCACTACGAATTTTAGCTTCATACAAATTATAATTCGTATATAGCTCGGTAACTTTTTCAACTTTTGAAGTTTCTATATATGCTCCATAGCAGTAACATCAGAGTATAAATCAAAAATGCGTTGACCCATTGAATTAATATTATCAAACAAATCAACGTACATTTTAATTATAACCTCGCCAATATTATTGAAAATTGCATTTTTATTAAGATTAACTTTCCATAGTTTCCTCAATTGATTTAACGGGATCAGACTGTACCTGATGGCATTCCCTTTGCCAGAATTTGAATTCCTTATTAATGTTGGCGCAATTTGCATAATACGAGCAGCCTCAATTAAATTTTTAGAAGTCTCGTTTGGTAGTATATCGCCAAGTATTTCAAATTTAAATCGATTGTATTGCTGAGTCTCACCCCAGGTAACATCCATAGCTGGTTTTGCACTTATGTCAACTAGATCAACAACTGGAAAAAATCATAAAAATAATATACTAATGCTCAATGTGTATTTTCTATAAATAATTGGTATAAACCAACGAGTGCCACTCTGTGTGAAAAGTGTTAACTAATGTTTAAACACTTTGAATAAATAATGCATGACTCAAAGCACTAGTTTATAATTTTTCAATTAATAATATAAAAAGGTTTATAATGAGTAAATTAAAACTAGTGTTGTGAGTTATAGAACATAATGTAGATATCGTTAATATAATGTTGCAATAAGTATTGTTGCATGTTGGTGTGTTTACTGAGCATGGTGACATTTATTTGTTGCAAAAATTTAATGAATGAAATCTCTTGTTTTAGCTTCCCAAATTCATTTAATTTTATCTCGATACTTTCCCACGAGTATGGATCAGTAGTCGCATTTATTAATACCATGTCCAATTTAACAACTGTCTCATTTCCGGATGGTACTAATATTAGGTGATGCGCTAAATGACTACGTATTCTAGCTTCGTATAAATTATAATTTGTTTTAAGTTGTGAAACATTTTAAACTTTTTTAGAATCAATATAAGATTCCATAGACGTAACATCAACGTGTAAATCAAATAGCTTTGGACCCATTAAATTAATATTATCGAATAGGTCGATATACTTTTTAATAGATTCATCGCCAATAGTTTTAACAAGTGTGTCAGTCATCATGCTACTTTTCCATAGTTTTCTCAACTTATTGATTGGTATTAGTGAATAACTAATAGCATTGCATTTACCGCCATTTGAATTCCTGATAAGTGTCGGGGCAATTTTCATAATATTTACAGCGTCGATTAAACTTTTAGCAGTCTCATTGGACAGAATATCGCCGAAAATTTCAAATTTATACAGGGAATACTTGGTGATTTCTCCCTCATTAGTATTTACAATCCCTTTTCCGGATATATCAAATAGGCCATTTACTATAATACAAAAATATAAACCATATTGATATATAATTTAAACAATATTGATCATTATAAACCCTGATATAGAATTAATTAAAGGTTTATAAACTTTGTTTTAGATAGAATGAATTACAGATACATTGTGTATTTATAATTTTAAAATTTTATAAGCATGGTGCTATTACCTTGAGCTTGTAGATTGCCTTCAACCTTTTTACTATCTTGCTCATCGGAATTAATATCCTCGACCGATATAAACACATTACCGCCCCATTGTATGCCTACCACTACATGTGCTTTAATCATGCACATCGAAATCTACCAAGGGCTTTAATTCTGCATTATGTACAATAATTTGATCTTGCATAGTTGTCATTGAGTGAATCAGCGAGGCCTTTGCACTACGATAGCTTTGTTTTTTATCGTTAAAAAACTTAGCTGACCCATCTAATTTAATTAACTCAAACAGGATACTTAATTTTAATTCAGCCGTAATGTCCAGTGTGTAAAACTTTTCTTTATACGTGTTGACCATGGACACTCTCATTTTGCTTTCACCATTGTCAGTAGATATGATCGAGGTGTTAGGTAGTTTTTTATTGAATAGAGATATGGCCAGGAACTTATCAATTCGTGAATCATACAGTTCCCCGATTTGTGCCACCCGTCCCACTGCCGATACCACAATGGGTCCAGAATTATCCTTGATGAAATAATAAATTATAGAAAGTTTTGTTATTAATTAAATCTAATTTAATCATAAATAATTAAATACTAATTAGTATAATTATATTTATTGATCATATTTGTTTGACAATTGAAAATAATACTATTAAAACTTACCACGATATTTTCATTTTTATTGAATATACTTGTAAAACATGCACAAAAATTAAAACTAATTACTAATATTATTATGACATAAATTAAAATATTGTACATTTTGTTTAATGCTATTACGATATAAAGTTAATGTTAAATATTTAATAAACACAAATATTATCAAACTTTATTTATCTAATATAAACAATTTATTAATCTATCATATATTATCTATGTTTACTATTTATCGTTAAATATAAACATTATAATTGAAATTGATATTAATGCATACAAATATTTAAGTGTAACCTTGTTCATTGTGATAATTTTTAATAATAATTATAATTATTAAAATTTTTTAAATAGCAAAATTAATTATTATAAATTAAAATAGTTATGTAGTTTAGTAGTACTTATGGCACATAGACTTGATATGCGTAATAAAAATAGCCCAGCTATAAGTGATAACATTGAAACAATATGTTTATGAATAAAAACGTTAATATGCACCATTTGATACAACAGGTCCCGGGTACTGATAACATATATTATATGGATAGTCGACATTTGATACGGGTATCGGTATAGGTGTAGGTGCGTGTGGATAGGCACCAGCCATGTTAGGTAAGAGTGGAATGGGTTTAGGCATGGGCTGAGCCGTTGTCACTAAATGCCTTTCCCTCTTGTATTTAGCATAAAAGCAGCATGACACTATAAAACCAATGATAGAGACCCCGGTTATTGTCGAACCAATTATCAATAGTATTCCCCCTAAAAACACAATAAACATAAAACTACTATAAAATAAAATGCATGTTAAAGTGGACAGACCTACAAATCTGGGACCTTTGGCAAAGTCACTCCTGGCCTACGAGAATGTAATTAGAGTTACTTTAAGAGTTATTACTGAAGGGAATGGTAGGGAAATACATCGTTAAAGAATTTGGTGTCAAATTCCTTGGAGGGTGGGCTGTCATTGCCGGCCACGAAACGGGCTATACTTCCGGCGATGAGTAGAGCGACGCCCAGAAAGACGAGACAACAGGAGGTCTGACACGAGATGCGTCGGAAGTGTCGAGGATCTGACATTAATTAGGCAATGTGTCCTGGATTATATCTTATAAATGTACAGAAATATATAAAGTAACTAGCTTAGTAATTTAAATATTTTATTTTAAATTAGTTTTATTTTATTTAGAAGTTTTAACATAGTTATATTTCCCAATAATGTTCAAATAGATTGCAATAAATATGCTTACCCAGTTTGTACAGGATGTTTTTGTTTATAATTAATTAACAAGCTATTACTTTTTTATTTTAAGTGTTTTTTTGTTTATCATATAAATGAATTAAATACTTAATAATAATCATCAATTTCTTAAGTAATCTCAAATTTATGTAAAGGTACTTGAATAAACGCAATTATATATCATATATTTTTAGATAAAACAATTCAAATAAAACTAATGTAGTACTATTTAGTAGTATAATGATTTATATTAACATAACGTTTTTATTTAACGCGATTTGCTGAATAAATTATTTATATATTTTTTAATGCATTAATAACATTTAAAATAAATATTGAATTAAAATCATAATTTAATAACAGCTAAAATATATTTTATTTATAAAACTAATTAAAGTAAACAATTATTTTTATCAGCTAAATAAAATATTTTTACAATAATATTTACTAGTATATATTTAATTTGCAATATGTTTGATAGATTAGATCAGAGACGCCCATAATTTTTAAAATCCCAAAATTAGTGTTTTATAATATTAGTAAACTTATTTACTGTTCAAAACACTAGTATTTAATGAAGTATAAGTGACTTATAAATGACTTTATAAAAGTGACTTGAATGAAAAGATATTTTGTTGGAAACATAATTTTCATTATGATTAATATTATGAATATTTATTAGACATGAAAATAATATTCAAATGATTAATATATTAAGAAAGGATACTGTTACAAAAGCATTACGAGTTTCCTAATCTGGCATTTTTGATTTGTTGATTGGATATGAAAGCCCATTCAATGCTGAGTCCGAATATGTAATTTATATTGTCCTGTGACTTTGGGTTCGGTCGCAATGACCACTTTTACCGGGAATATTTTTCATAATAAATATAAACATGTGATATATAAATTCAATAGAGAATTTTTCACAGATCATGGTAGTTATAATAGAAATATTGTAAGGTTTATATTTAAAGTGTTAAAAGAATATAAATGCTAAAATATTGAATATTTTTAATATGCTACGTTATTTATTGATATTTTTAGTAAAATATTAGATATAAGAATGGTCAGGCCAGAGAACCGGGTAATGTGCTCGACCTCAGGACACAAATGAAAACACTTAATGATTACAAACTAAACCACTTTATTAAACAAAGACAATTCATTACAAGAGATGTGCACTGAATGACTGATTAGTATAGACTCGTTCTAAGGCATAGAGGTGCCATGTTATATACATGATATAATGAGCTAATGGTCAGTATCTGTGAGTACAGTACAACTCTATTGGAAAGTCCTAGTGCTGCCCGTGAAGCACAGGTGTGATGACTCGGCTAGTGTTAGCCAAGGATAGCAACTCATAGACCTTCGTTACTCCCCCATCACTTAACAGGACGGCCGCTCGAAGGATGGCACCGGTAGTCTGAGGCGTACGCGACGATTGAAGCCAAGGATCCACTTCGAGGCGTCGGTGAGGATGAG